GGGATCTCTGCCTTAGCATCAAGCTGGAACATTGGCTCAATAATGACTCAGAGGGAAGAGTGACAATTATTGACTCAACCAACACCATTTTCTGCTTCCTATTTGCACTTAGGCTTTCCCCTGAAGGTCTGCTGTCCAGGTCTGACCTTGCCTAGTTCCTAGGTCTTTTGATCTATCAAAGTGAATTGTTTTTAATTTTTCTGTGCACTCCCCAGAGCCAGTGTTGAGTGTTTTATAGATATACACACAGAAACAAATAGTTAATACAAGCTGACAAGACTACAGCCTAAGGTAGTGTGGTTGCAGGCTACCAGTGTGCCACTTTCACAGACACATTTCTGTACATAAAAACACTTTCAAGGAGATCCAGAAGCATTTAATAGGCATCAGATCAAAGCCCTTGATGCTGACTTGCCCAGTGCTGCTAAAACAGGTTCCTCAAATATTCCATTTTAATTTTAAATGAATTTGTTACGATTATATTTATGCCTGCTGGTCTTGCCACAACTATTTTAGCAAATGAGTGCACTGGCAAGGATGTTCCTGGATACTGCCAATATTGGAAAGAAGTCATGGAAAGTGAATTTTTTATTTGTAAAGTATTCACCCTTGAAATCTGCGGCAAAGGGTAATTCGTGCCACAATTCAACAAGGTAATTGAGTGTCTGTCTGACTTTAAGCAAATGAGTAATCCTGTTGACTTCTTTGGGGACCTCAGCAGACTCCCAGTAGGAGCAATGGGGGCAAGGAAACCTAAGCAGTTTTAAAATGGAGCTTGGGAAGTGGCCTAAAATGGAAAGGGAATGGGATCACCCTTCTACTTGTCCGTGACCTGTAGGTCTAGCAAGTGTGCATGGGCTGCTCATTTGGCGCTGCTCTTTCTTTCATCATCTCTTGCCTAAGCGTCTGATTTTAGTTCAGCCTCAGTCTGTACAGGCAATCTTGTTCTGAGTTACCATCCGTAATTAAAACTGCTTTCCACCCAGGCAGCACATTGCAAGCTTCTTATGGTAGATCATCTCATCTACCGCGTGCTCAGAGCTACTGCTGAACACAGTGGCAGCATACAACAAATAATTCAGGCTATAAGAATTTTTTTTTTTGGTAAACTGTGAATTTCTCCGTGGATGGTTAAACTTCACAAAGAGAGTCTCTCATCTTGATTACTCAAGAGAATAATGTCGCTATTCAGGCTGTCAGGTAAATTCATAATTGAGCATTTTAAAGGTATGTTGTTTATCTGATCAAATATTTTCTGAGCATGCTGTAAGTATTTTTGTTAAACATATTATGCCCCTGAGATAGCAGCAGCTTTTTTAGATATATTTTGCTATGTATACTCATATATGGCATTTGGAGGAAAAAAAAATATATATATATTTGCCTCTCCCCCTCAATGAATTTTTTGCCTGATAGATGGATAGGACTCCTAAAGAGATGCTACTTTCTGTCATGTTAATCCTCCTTAGTTTATGGATTATTGACCTAATAAACAATGACAGCCCTATCCGAGCCGTTGTATCTCATTGTGTTAATCTGGCTGTCACGTGTAAAAGGTAAAACAGAAAAAAACCCACAATAACAAAAAAGCCACCACGCACCGAGCTCAATTTAATTCCATTCAGCATTAATATCTGGTGTATGAGAGTACCGGGAATGAAAGCCACTCCCACATAAAGGCCTCTTTATATACCATGTAAGCCTCTGAAACAGGCCTATTCCTTACACATTTTCACAGCAGAAAAAGTAGGGCAAGTTTGTGGCCTAGTTGTCTGCTGCCTTTGCATTGCCGCACCAGCACAAAGGAACCAGCAGCAGGATAGCTAGTATTCCCACAGCCTGCTTTGAGCTATTATAATGCTGCTTTGACTCCACATATCAGGCAGAAGGCAGGGTAGATTTACACCTTATAGACTAACTAAATCAGAGATGTATAGCATAAGCCTGAGCTCACATCAGCATCTGCTTGCCCTCCCTGATATCTAGAATCAGCCAAATGGAAGGAAACCAGTACAGGCTAGATCTCTAGTTATTAGCCAGAGCTCCCATGAGTTTGGGTGAGATGCCATGTAAAGCACTGACTGAGGACCTGCTCATTAACGTTAATTAATAGGACTCTTTCCATTGGTTTCAACCTGCTTTAGATGCAGCTCTGAGTGCTCTCAGTTGCCACTAACAAAGCGGAGAGTTCTCAGTGCCTCGTAGAAGTGTAAATTAAGGGTTTTATGCAACTCACTTGTTCCTGGAGTATCTGGGGGCTACTGAGTCTGTAATGCCCTGCTGTCAGGATGTCAGGAGACATTATTGCCCCTGTTGCACACAAAAACCTGAGATACTAGGAGGCTACGTGATTTACTCTGGTCATAGAGAAAGTCTGTAGCAGAGCAGGGAAACACAGGCCCCCTCCAAGTCTCAGGCTAAATGTCTAACCACTGGGAAAACTTGCCTTCCTAATACAACATGGCTCTGTTTATTCTAAAATGATTCTTTATTGTGAATGTTAAAGCTGCAGAAAAGGGCTTCTGAGCTTTTTTTAAAAGCAAGTTGAATAGATCTGGAAGTGAGGCCCCTCAGCATCATCCCTTTTCTTTTGTAACACAGGAAGGAATTTATAGGGCTATACAGTTAGAGCTGTACCATTATCATAATCCACCCATGTGGGCAGAAAAGGAACAAGAGGCAAAGCAAGTCCACTGAAATATAGGAACAATTTTTAGTTTAAGGTCCCACTGGAAGGAGGCTAGCATAGGCTACAGCATTTCAATGCAAGTTTCATAGCCATTTACAGGCCCTCCCCCCAAAACCCTTTCTAATACAAGCCTTTAACTGAATCTGCCAGCTCTGGGGAATAGGGTCAGCTCCTGATCTATAGGGTCAGCTATGTCACTTCCCCCAAAGCTAAACTCAGCCTGGACTAAATTTACAAACTAAAACAGGCTTTCTCAAAGCAAAGTCAGCACCCTAATTGAAATCAGAGGCTCCTTCCTGAGCCAAGCTTTATAGCACCTGACCTCTACCCCAAATATATTCTGGCCACTCAGCTCCCTCCTCCTGAAACAGTTTCACAGCTAGCACCAGACACTATAGGTCCTTCTACCTCTATAAAGATCCCACCAATGCATTACCTATTGTTATAAGGTAGGCAATTAAGAGAAGAAAAGGCGGTAAATAACCCTATGGGGAACACTTGGCAGTTGCTCTCTGTGGGCCTTATTAAAGGATATGAATACAGATAGACACATATTACTGATTCACACCCACACCCTGAGCCTCCACACCGAGAGGTTGAACCACTCCACTGCATAAAAGCAGGGCAGATACATATGATACAAGGGCATGTGCATAAATCAAAGAGCTTCCTAGGGCACAAAAGATTTTTTTCCCAACAATTTTTTCTTTTGCTTATTTGTCATTTTAATGCAGCCAGATCTTCCTAGTATAACTAAAGGGTAGTCCACCTGCTTCAGGTTTTTAAGGCTGAGTTTGCAAACACTTGAAAATAAAGGATTGTAATGGAACAAATGGCAGACTTCAACTGTGGTGATGAAGGATGTGTCTGTAATACATTTAAGGGGAAAGAAGTCTCAGCTGCCTGGTGTATTGATTGGTTTGTGCAGTTCAAACATGGCCACTTGCTCATTGAACATATTACTTCAAGGCAATAGATGACGCAAATGTTTGGTCTGGAAAAGCAGTATTTCAGGTAGGTTAGGCTTAGGTTTTCTAGGCTGTCTAAGGGCTTTGGGCCCTCAAGTTAATGGTATTGAGGTAATCAAATCTCTCAGGCAGAATCTCAGCTGTAATCTCTTAGGGTGTTTTGTGAATCTTTTTTCCATAATTACAACAGCTATCCTTAATTATGCTCATAACAAGATTTCAATAAGAAAAAAACCAACCAGCTAGAGTTGCATGAAGTCATCTTTATATTCTTAACAAGATGACGGTGAGCTAAGTTCTGTGCATGCGTTATAGTTGAAGTGGAATGATGTGGGTATTTGAGATGTTTGTTGTATACTTCCAAAATGAGCCTAATATGGTTGGCCCACTAATTTCAGTCAGATTCTATATGGATAAATGAGAGCAGGATTTCATGAAATGGTCAAACTTATGACTAGATGGTATGTGATTCTATTGTAGGTCACTGGAGGGTGAATTGACCATCCCTACCTTGCTCGTTGTGGGGACATTTGTAGTTTGTGCTCGAGGGAAGGATTGCTTCCTCTATGCCAGGGGCGGGCAATTATTTTGGGCAGAGGGCCGCTTACCGAGTTTTGGCAAGCTGTTCAGGGTCGCATTTTTCTCTCCAGTGCAGGGAAGCAGGAACAGCCCCATGGTCCCAGGCCAGAAGCCTGGGAGGTTGGGGAGGCAGGGATGGGAAGGCCTTACTGCTGGGTCCTGCCACCAGCATCCTCTGGGTCCTACTGCCCCTGTCTTCTGTCATCTTTCACAGGCAGCTAGGAGCAAATACATATTAATTTTCTAAATTTTTAGGGGTCCCGTGGGCTGGATAGAATGGCCTGGTGGGCCAGATCGAGCCCCTGGGCTGTATTTTGCCTGTGCCTGCTCTAGGCCCTCCAAAAGATGGTGAGGCATGGAAGAGGTGGGGATATGGCCACACCAATACTTCTGTACTAGTTTATAGATCAACCCAGTGCACAGCTGTGTGATCCTAAAAATGGGCAGCAGTGTCTTCACTGTCCTTCTACTTCATACTGGGGAAGTCAAGGAAGCACCTGGCTTCTGGAGATCTGTTAGGTCTTCCTAGGACACAGTCCTTTACTCAGGGATACAGATAAATGCCATATCATGACCACTTGATAACAAAGTCTTTGCAGATTTGCTGTGCATATTTATACAACTGTTCCCTGTTCTGGGACAACATTTTTATTGTTATTGCCGCACAATGTGATGACAAAATCAAACTCTGGTACTTGGATATTTTGCTCATGGTTGTATCTTTCCTTTGAAATATATTTACAAATTAAAAAAGAATCCATTCAGACAGTCTGGCTACACATTTGCCATATCTTTATTGCACTTTTACCACGTTGCAAACAATTCCACAAAAATGCTGCAAAAGTAAGCCTAGAGCTGCAGAAAGCAGCTTTTACCCATATATGTATATATTTACACAAAACTATCAAAAGCAAAAGTTGAAAAGTAGCAGCCCTACTACAATAATCTAGAAAGATAAGAGCTGCTACCTCTGGATGGATAAATAGTACAACTTGTCATTTTACATCACTTTGTAAAATCAACTTTCAAGTATTCCTGTCAATGCACAATTATTGAAATCTCCTTCCAGCTCATCACTGTACCTTTTTTTTTTTTGCTTTTAAAAGTTCATGATGTCTTAACCCTTTAAATGCTGAGTAGCTGAAAAAAAGCATTCAATTTAAATTAGGTACAGTGAAGTAGAACACTTAAAGGGTTAACACAAAATACTAAGTGAACTGTCACCAAGAATAAAGTGTGAGTCACAAAACTATGCTGTCCCTCTTTTGTTAGATTTGGTAGGTAGGTCTGTGGTATTTCATAGATATGCCATATATAAATACAAAATATTAAATAAAGGCCCCCTTCCTATACAAAAAAAGGGCAGGAGGTGTTTTGCCATGAGACTAGTGTCATCTGCCAGTGATCTCAATTTCCAAACCTTTTCATAATCTGTTTTAGGAACTAATTAAAAGCATCACATTAGACTTATTTTTCTTAATTAACTAAGCCTTCGCAGAGTCTATGCTTTACCTACTTTGGGAACAATTATATCTCATTTCTGAATTCACTGAATTCACAAAGTGGCATACACAGTCTTTTGCAAGACTTTTTTTTATCTTCTTTACTTTGCTAGTAAAAATGTAGTCATATGATTTCACTACCTGTTAGTTGTTATAGTGTTAACATCAGTGTCAAAGTCATTTTCAACCACATTATCATAACCATCTTTTTCTATACAGTCACTAACGGCTTTAAGAACAATCCGTAGCCTTCTGTCCATTGCCTCTAAGTGAGGCTGGTAGAGAATGGGTGCTACTTTATCTTTTAGTAAGGATTCCTCCACCAAATGGCTTAGCTTGTACTCCTCCTTGGCTAATAACTGTAATCGCAGATAGGTAGACTTCCTTATTCTATGAGAGAATGAAAAAGAATAAATCAATATTTCTGTCATCATCTGCAGTATATATACTGTACCTTATATTCAGTCCTCAAAAGGGATGTTATCTAGGAAACTGCATAGCACATACAACTATAATTCTATCTATGCCATAAGACACAGAGTTATTTTAGGCCTACTTATGACAACAAGGAAGTTATTAACATAAGAGAATACAATGCATACATGATATATTGGACACACATTCCTATAAATGATTTTAGGTGCCTTGACTCTTGAGATGTATGGAAGAAGTTTGGTTTTCAGAAAATATTTGAGCTCCCCCTCTCTGAAATCTAGTCCTCTCACAAAGACTGGCCACCCAAAACCCAAGGCACTGAATGTCACTTAGAACAGGGGTTTTCAACCTTTTTTAGTTTAAATACCCACAGCGGCCACACGCCAAGCAAAGCGGGGGGGCGGTTGGTGGCGTGTGGCTGGATGCCAAGCATGAGGCAGGGACGGTGAGTGGGTGGGTGGAGACAGAGCGCCACCACCTCCCAGGAGCAGGGCTGTAGCAGGGTACCCCCGGTTGACAACCCCCACCCCACCAGTTTAATTCCTGGCTGGGGTTACTTAACCCCAGAGCTTTTTCCTGTCCAGAGCAGGGGGTCAGACTCAATGATGTAATAGGTCCCTTCCAACCCTAGACATCTATGAAATCTATGAAACATCATTCTGAAAATCATGGCTGTTGACAGCAAGAAAAACATTTTCAAAAATTCTTAAGTGCAATAGGAGCCAAAGCCCCATTTTTAAAATTTACTTAATCACATAGGGCAAAATCCCAATATACTTTACAAGCCTAAATGGCGTGTACCCAGCAGGGTGACTATAGTTTCTGGCACTAACACACAATTTGTGATCTAGGTCTGGGCACACAAGTGTGTGCATGCCCACTGAGTATGGTCAGTAGGGCTGTGCTTTGGCTGGGCAAGTACATGGTGAAATAGGTTTGCCCAAGCATGTGCGTCCTAAAAGTTTAGTCACAGAAAAACCACAAGTAGTGGGTGTTAAGACAGTGGAAGAGGGTTCTCCCTTTGTTTCAAACCAATAATTTAGTGGTTAGGGAACTTAGTGGTTAGGGAGGAAGAGGTGTTGGTTCTGGGCTCCCCTCATCCCATGGGTATTTGAATCTATATCTCCTGCTTCCCAATATAGTGCTCTAATCACACCAGAAGTTAGCCAGAAAGCAGACCCTTCTTTAGCTCTTCACTTGAAGGTGGTCCCCTGCGTGGCCAAAAGAGGGAGATACGTTGTGCCAGGAACAGGTCAGAGGGTGTGGGGCCCAGTGGGTAAGGCTGTGCGAAGCCTTGGTCCCTGATTCAATTTGGTGAAGAATCAACCCGATTCGGTGGCTGAATCTCTGAATCCAAATCAAATAAGAGGACCCTTTAATCTCTCCAAATTGAATCAGAACCCTCCGAATCGATTCAGAAGGATTTGGAGATACGGACATAGATACAGCTTTAAATGTTTTTTCTATGTACTTCTAGGTACCAAGCAGCTCATGAACACTGATGCTGGGGCAGATGGAGTGTCCCACAGGAGCTTGGAGGGCTCCCCAGCGCACTCGGCAGCAGACTTCCAGTTCACTTCCAGTTCTGTAGACAGCACGTGGGACACCCCCCCCCAGCTTGGTGACTGGTGCCTCCTGGGTCTGGGGGGGCACCCGGGGTCTCTCCGTGGTCAATCGCCAAGTCAAGGAGGCATGGGGGGTCCACTTCCAGGTTCACCTGTGGAACGCTCCATCCGCCCCAGCATCGCTGCATTCATGAGCCACGTTGGTACCTTGAGGTATGTAGAAAAAACATTTAAAGCTGTGTCCAAATCGCTGATTCTCTGAATCAGCAAAGAATCTTCAGACTCGGATCCGGCCAAATCGAGTCGGGGACAGCGATCCGAATCAACGACTCAAATCACTGTCCTTGATTTGGGCTGAATTTGAATCTGAATCAAATAGGGCCTGCTTTGCACACCCCTACCAGTGGGATGAATGCTGCCATGAATGAGAGGGGGCTGTGTGTACTGGCCTGGGTTCTCGCTCCCAGTGAGGCAGAAAATTTCCCCGTCATGTTCACTATTATAGACCATTTCAATGCGTGTTACATGCCTAGATAGATGAGGATCTGGGCCTGAAAGTGCCTGAATCCTACTAGACTCCTACATAGTGCAACCAGTTTTAAACATATTATTTTAAATGCTTTGCCTCCCTCACCTATATACCTCATAAAGCTCATCTCAAAAGAGATGTTAGCCAGGGAACTGGATAACAAACCAAACTATAATTCTGCGGGCCCTTTCTTACTCACTAAAGTTACTGGGATTATACCATTGCCTTCAGTGGAAATATAGCAGGGAGAAGGGTCACTGGTATTGTGTAGAAAATTCAACGGCATTTAAGGGCACATATACCTTTCAGATCTTTTATTTGTTCACAAATCTATCTGGATTACTTCAGCAGATACTCTGTCAATAGCCTCAGAAATTAAACCCTGCTGTAAAAGCCCTTCTTTTTCCTCAGTCTTTTACTCTAATACAAAGCCCACAGAAGTCAATAGAGGTCTTGATTTTAGTACCGTTTACATCAAACCCTGGAAGTCTGACTTCCTCTGGGACTTGCAAAGCATGTGGAACATTTGAATCAATAGGAAGAAAGCTCAGTGAGTAGCACCAATTTATTTGCCTCTATTTAGCTAAGCAGTTGTTGAAGGGTGAAGTGAGAACATTCACCTTACTAAAGTACAGTACGGTACTGAGGGTCTTGTCTGCGCTGAGTGTAAATCTTGAGCTAGATAGTCACGCATCATTTGAAACACTGAAATATTCAACTAAGATAAACTGATTTTATATACATATAAAGCACATACTTCATGCTTTCATCCCCATCCACAGACAGCACACTGTAGATTAAAAATTAATACTGAAATGTAACATACCTGCAGCACTGGTTTAAAGGCACCAATATGGAAAGCTCATCATGGGAATATTTTCCAAACCTGTTTAGAAATAAGGAATATGTGATAAAGGGTATTTAAGTTGAACCCGTGGATGTAAGTTTTTTGATTCTGGAAAATTAAATAAATACACAAATAATACATAAATAAATCTCCAGGAATTTAGCTCTGGATCCAGAAAGCAGTGGACGTTAAGTGCAAGATCAAGCCACTATATAATTCTTGTCTATTCATGGTGGAAATAAATATTGGAAAATTATGCTAGCAAAGCTGAGCAATGGTCTTGTGATTAATGAACTGGAGTGAGTCTGAAGGGACTTAGTTCAATTCCCAGTGGTATCACATACTTCCCACATGAGTATGCAAGTCATATAATCTCTCTGGGCTTTAGTTTCCCATCTGTAAATTAGGGATCAAAATATTTAACTTCTCTTGTTCTTTGTCTAAATATGGATTTTTTTCACACCAGACAGAGAGCTGTGTTTTTATACCACCTGGCCTAATGGAGCCTTGGTTTCTGTTGGGTCTTCTTTATACTTCCATATTACAAATACAGGGTAATTCATAATGGACATATTGAAATGTATAAATCATCGAGGATTTGTTAATTTGACCAAAATTCTTTTATTCATCAATAGAATTATTAAAATATTTACCCTCTTCCGTTATCTAAGTGGATAATAAATGTTTCATTTCCAAACTTTTCAAAAGTTTCATAGTGATGTCGATCCATGTTTCCTACAGAATACGAAAGAAGAATAAGTTTTTTTCAAGTGGTGTTTCTCAGGACAGAAGCTAGGAGAAGGTCCAGACCTGATTTTTTCATCAAAGAGCAGAATATTTCCAACAATGAAAAATGCTAAAAGTCTTGGCAACTGCAGAAGGTGCATTTAGATTCAATTCCATAATACCTTCCAGCTGCAGATTTTGCACACCCATCTTGCATGCCCATTTGGAATCTCTTATCTGTTATGTTATTACAATCCTTTTGCTTTATTAAAACTATGAACACTTTTCAGCCATTGTCTTTACATTTGTAATATATGTTCTCACAGAATGAGCCCATATGCAAACATATGAGATCATATATCAGATAGTAACTTTTTCTTACTGCTTTAAAAGAAAAATTATGGTTAAATGACCAACTGACTCTATTTTTAAATGTGACTGTCCTCATCTACAGTAAGGCAAAATGAGGTTTAACATCCTGCTAACAAAACGTGTGATCCTTAAATCGTTTTCTAAAATCATGTATTTGCCCACTGTAGGCAAGGTCTGGGCTATACTAGTTTCAGTTTCCAAGTGGTCTCAGTGTACAGTACATTAAAGTAGGCATATGCATTGTTTCTGTTACTATTACTATGTTATTGTTTCTTCTCAGCTTTTAAAACATTTCTAATCAGATTACACAGTATGAGTAGTGTCCCGTATATTCCACATTTCTCCTGCCTGCTGGTCATAGCAATTTTTCCCTTTCCCATGCTGTCTACACTGATGCAGAGAAATGCACTGCCAAAGGGGGAAAAGATCTACCAATAACAAATACTCTTATCATTTACACATAGGAACCCTCTGTTATAAGAGAATGACACTCACTGTAAAACGTACTGTAGGGGACGAGACTTTTAGTGAACAGTTCATGGGACAAGCATGAACGACATTCAGCATTGTGCTCGCTTCTAATATACTTGCATAAATCTTTGTTCTTTTAATTTGTACAGATGCAAGTACATGTCTATGTCAGTCAGCATTTTCTCATAATTATCCTCAACCGCACATGCAGTTTGTGCAATTCTACTTGAGCATCAGAAAATTACTGAGCTATGTGAAGCAATTCCTAGGAAACCAATTATTATTAGAATGAAATGTTGCATATCATTTAAAAAGTGAGGAAGCTTACCCATTAGAAAATCAAAAATGGTCATATCCATTATGTCCAAAATTCTGGTCCCACTGTCATAGGGTGGTGTTTGCTTAACTTCTTCGCAGTAATCTGGGTCAACTTCCCACCTAGAAAAAAACATTTTTGATAACTTAGATCAGATGTAAAGGTTCCTCAGTAGAAAACAGCCTGATGTTTTTCAGCCATTTAGTTGTATGACACTGGGCGAGGGTTAGAACATGCACTATCCACGCTGGCTGCTTTGAGAGGTACAAACTCTGGCATAAATGATGTCTGATGAACAGAGCTGACTTTAGGGAAAATAGTGCCCTGGATGAAGTTGTATTTTGGTGACCCCTGCCTCCTTTGAAAAGAAGCAAAGAGCAGTACGGCTTGTCTGGTGCCTGCATGTAAATGGATGCGGCTCCTTTAAATTTTACCCTCCACCACTCCCACCCATACCAGAGCGGCCTGTAGGCTGGAGCAGCATGTAAGGGAGTGTCTTGAAAGTGACACAAGTGACAAATTTAAAGGGACACTGTCGGCCTGATTTTTCTTTTTCCTGTTCTGAACTTGCCAACAGCCTGCACTGCCCAGCCTGGCTTCTGAGCAGCAGCTGGAGATGAGAAGGGGGAAGGCAAGGAGGGGCAGGCTGGGCTGGGCAACCTGGAGTTGCCCCTGTCACCTGCTCTGAAGGCTGCCCCTGCTGATTAATTAAGGGGAATTTCCTGTAATTTCTAGGCAAGTCATGAATTGAAAGAAAACAGCTTGCTTGCAGATTCAAGATTTAGAAAGTCAGGTCTGCCTTGGCAGTCATCATACAGTCAAATACTTAACTCATTTGAAGTCATCATACAGTCAAATACTTAACTCATTTGAGACTTGTTTAGGGATGCAGGTATTTCCCAATTGTGTCCTTTTGCAAAAGCTGTTACAGGCTTTGTTCCTGCCAAGATTTAAGCACGTGCCCTTCTTTAGACGTGGAAGTAGTCCCACTGCAATCCACTGCAGTATCACAACCATAATGGTGTTTCTTTCAGATCTAAGTATTACTTTTGCTCCCTGTGCATCCCCTTTTAGGGGCTTGACTCAAAGCTCATTGTAGTCAACAGAAAGATTTTCATTGACTTCGCTGTTTCAGAACGAGCTTTGGCAGTAAATTCCCTTTAGAAATAAATCACATCTTGTATCCTACCAAATAAGACATCATCAGCTCTGCTGCTTTGCTGCTGGAAAGCACCTTGCTCCCTGGTACTTACTCCGCTTTCTTCCGTTTATGATAGGAACGTCTCCATGGATTCCTCCAGGTTTTCCTTTTAGCTAACGATAGGTCAGGTAGGAAAGCCGCCAGAGAACCTTCAATTTGATCTGGTTTTCCACAAAGAGCATGCTCAGTTGAGCAGTAGTATGAACATTCCCCGTAGAAGCAGATGTTGTTTGCTGACAAAGAAAGGAAAACGTTTACAAACGTTCTCAAAACATATTAAAATATACCGTCAAACATGAGCACACACAAGGCCCTGATCTGGAGCCCGTTGACTGCAGCAGAGAACGTTTAGGCTGGATATTAGAAATAACTTTCTTTCTATGAAGTTGGTTAAGCATTGGAACAGGCTAGCGAGAGAGGTTATAGAATCTCCATCCCTGGAAATGTTCAAGAGCAAATTAGAGAGACAACTGGCTGGGATGGTTAGGTCAAGGATGATCACTCCTTGAGCAGGGGCCTGAACCAGAGGATCTCAAGAGGACCCTTTCCAACCCTAATTTCCTATGCTGTCAACAGAAAGATTCCTATTTACCTTGGGGAATTAGGATCAGGCCATAGATTAAGCCTTCTTAGAACATCGCCAGGTTATTTATATGCCATTGACTGTATTTCCCAGTGTACTCATACACATAACCTGACTTTCTTGAATCTTAGCTCTATATTTGTTATTCCTAGTAAAGTGTAGACTCAGCATGGAACCAAAACTATGACACCTAACCATGACTAGTATTTTTAGAAGGTTTATTCAGTACTTTCTGAAAGTCAAGCCCTTTTATTGGATACCCAAAGAATCGAGGCAGGCAAAATCAAATCACTGTAAAAGAAACAGGATGAGATTTGTACAAGTGAATCTTACTCTCATTTCTTTTACAGACTGACAGGAAGTCCTTCCTCTCACGTTTTTTTTTGTGTGTGAGTAGAATTTGTAACTTTTCAAGGGCAAATTGTTTGTTATACATGTCAATTTACAAGAGTCACAGAACTCTAGCTGTGGCAATATATATCTTAAATATAAATATCCTCTCCATAAGCTATATTATTCCATTAGCCCAACAAAAGAAAGAACTCCTTAACAGCAACATATCATGTTTTACAAGGTGTATGACGTTTAAAATCTCGTAACTACAATCATATATCTGAATGACAACAGGCAGGCCATGCTGTTTTACAAGCAATAAACCAGTTCCCAAGTGAATACACTAGAAGACTGAAAGACAAGTAGTTTATCCCACAAAAGAAGTAAGATTATTAAGAACAAAAGGAGTGAGCTGTTCTTCTTATTGCTGTTCTGCTACGGTGCTTTAATTATTTCCATTACACAAAGGTTTAAAAATATAGATAATATACAACCAGGGGAAGCTTGTTTCTTATCCTTACAGGAGAGTTCAATGGGGGAAAGAGAAAGAAGTTCTACACCACAAAGCCAGCCAGCTTGTGCTGGAAAATGGCTACATGTTTGTTCTTCTTTGGGAGAAGTTCAGTGCAAATCTGTAATAATGATAATGGGTAGTTTTAGTTATCTGAGAACCTGGACCCACAGCGCATCTACACAAAAGTGATTGACCTTTACACCAATGTAAGCATGCTGCAAATAAATACCATCGGGTAATGTCACCCAATTTCCCTGAATGTGTTGATGGTAAAACCACTGTGGGTGCCTCTACACGATGTTGGCTTTTTCTAGCTAATCTCCAGGTTTATTTCACTCTCACAATGTACCATGATGATTCCCGTTATTATTTTGCACATAATGCATTTAACACTGTAGTTTACATCACTATAAAAAAGGCCGTGTGTATTTCACCAGTGTAAAAGTGTTGTATTCCCAGCCCGAAGGCTAACTGCTTCCTGGTGCTTGCCTTGCAGCTCTGCACAGCTGTTCTTATGGAGCTATATGCTGATGTGCTCTTTGGCAAGGAGAAGCTTGAAAATACTTTTAAATTCAAGAGATGGTGAAGATGCAATAAGTGCTAATGATGATTTTACCAGCTGATATCACTTGGATTTGTAATTCAGGCGACAAACTTTGCTAGGGAGCTATCTCCAACAGTCAATGTGTGGAGGTCAATGGATAATTACTGAACAAGTTTCCCTGGTTATTAAGTTCTATGCCTTCTAATTCTGGTCATCTGATTTGTGCATTAACTATAGTTGAAGGCTGCTATCAAATCCCTGCTTGGTCTTCTCTTCTGCAGACTAAATAAACTGAGTTCCCTCAGCCTATCCTCATAAGTCCTGTCCCCCAGTCCCCGAACCATTTTTGTTGCCCTCTGCTGGACTCTCTCCAACTTGTCCACATCCTTTTTATAGCGGGAGGCCCAAAACTGAACACACGACTACACATGTGGCCTCACCAGTGCTGCTTAGAGGGGAATAGAGTTTATTCCTTACCAGTCATACATTATGCACATCTCTGTAGTCTGATAAACTGGCAACTATTATCAGCCACTCAGTGCCCCCCCAAAATTCCCACTTCAAATTGGTTTTTTTTTGTGTTCTCAGTGTTCATATTGGCCAAACTACTTTCTAATTCAGTTTAAAAACACAGTGAAAACAAATATATACTGAATTTATTCTGAGAGCAAGAGACTGAGACCAGCAGGGATAGCAAAATAGTTTGAGAAAGAAGGAAAATGAAGCACAGGATTGAGAAGAGGGGAGGGAAGGAAGGGCCAAGAAAACAAATCCTTTTGGCAATTTGAACACCATCACTTTAGAATAAAATAGATTTTCCTTTAATTTAAAATGTGTGTTACCTTAATATTATAATAATAAGAATAATAACTTGGAGGAGATTTCCCGTTAACTCAGATCCACCACATCCCTGACTGATAAACCCCCTGGCTTGATTATTTCCTATAATCACCTCAGCCTTTGGTCTTGGCGTTTATTCATTTCAGGATATGATTATGAGCTTGTAAACAGGAAGCCCACTCTATTTCTCCTTTAAATAACCTGTAACAGTAATTCAGACCTATATATAGGCAGATGCGCTGCATAGGAGAGCAGCATTTTTTAAATTATTTATTTAGCCTAACAACAAAAACCGCTGTGGGCCCCAGTTCTAGGACACCACAGTCTACAAGTAGGTAATGACCCTTACTTTCTTAAAGGTCTCCTTCTCATGACTGTTTCTATCCTACTAGCTTGACCACAGCTTTCCACAAGGCTACAATCTGTCTGTGCTCTTAAGTGTTGCCTTTGATCATAACTGCAGGATTAGGAGGGATTTGTGCTTCATATACGTGTTTTTTATGACTCAGGCTGAAAGCAAGGAGTGGTTCAAACATTTGCTGTTAGTAGGCAATTGCTGATCCTTCTGGATTATGGTGTTTGCATGAGAGGTCATCAGGACCTTCAACGCATACACATAGACAGGGGAATGGAGGAGTGGAGGCTGCCCAGACCTTCCACCGCCCCCTAGACCATTGAGACAGTATCCAAAAGCCAAACCAAGTCCAGATGTTCGGTGCTTCAGTGGCTGTAGTCATTGGCGATGTGTAGGGGGTACACGCGGGTGCACATGCACCCCCTGAGCATGGTGGTGCACCCCCTGTGAAAAGGTGCTGCTGGCAGTGTCAGTCCGCAATCACTGCCAGCAGTGTCTGTGGGTGGTCCCCCAATTTTCGGTGGGCATTTGCCTGCCCCCCCTACAACCGACAGCACCACGGCTGCCTGCAGGAGCTCCGCGCTTACCACTGCCATGCTCCCACCGCTGACAACACTGCCATCACCTGCAGGAGCTTGCCATGTCCCCCCAGCCTCTGGGGACATGCGGCGTTCATGGCTGTAGTTATGTGCATGCCTGGGACTCAGACCTGGGTCTCCCACATGGTAGATAAGGCTTCTACCACTGAACCACAACAGCAGGTTAAATATTTTCTGTATGCTCTTGGAAACTGAAATTTACTTAGAACACGGATTATCAAATGGCATCACCTGGCAGCCACTGGTACTATTAGCCAGTGATACTGAGATTTGTCATTATACCTATGAAAAAAAATGACCTAACCCCAATATTTTAATAGGTTCCAGGCTGAACACAAGAGATGATTTGCAAGATATCATAGACACGTCAGACTGTGATCTTCACTGCAGGCTCAATAGGGTAGCTAGGGAATGTATAGACCCCATGTGTCCCCCTGTACTTGCCATCCTTTTTGCAGGTGATGGAGCAGCAGAGAGAAGTGCTACCAGTTGGTTACTGCTTTCCACCTGTACAGGTGAGGGGCAGGTGGAAAGACAAGAAGCGTGCAGAACCTTGCCACTGCTTAGTGCCTCCAAAGAAAGTGAGAACTGTGTCCCTGCCTTGAAAGAATAGTGTGTTGTCCCTTAAGGGAGGAACTGAAAGTCTGCAATCTAGTTCATGGTCTCATTTAACTGAGTGTCAGAGTCGCCTGTGATCTGTTGATGTGGATAGTCCACCGGGATTTCTCTTGATTATCTGAGACAATTTAGCTCTAAAGGCATAAAGGAATCTGCTTACACCTGGAAGTTTGATTAGCTATCCTGAAGTACAACAGGTTTTTAAGGAGCAAGAGGCAGAGAAATAACACTTGTCTGCTCTCATCCCCTCTGCTTCACAGTATGCAAATTTGACCTTTTTTTAAAAGGAATTATATTAAATACAGCACTTTCCGCCACAGGAAGATAAATACCCTGTTTAACAGTTTCCTTCTGAATTTAACTTTGGTAACAAAGGAACTCTGTCAGCAGCTTTTCACATTGTCAGTGAGAACAACTGGGACTAATCATTTGGTATAAATCACATAATAGTATCTAAATAAATTCACAGTGAAGTTTACAGGCTATCACCATGATCACATCCATGGCTGCATCGGTTGACATAACTAATCTGATATGTCCTGGCTGCCCTGTATTTCCAATCAATCATCGCTCCTGTTGGACTATTGATTTTTACATACCACTCCTAGTGACTTCAAGGGGCACTCGGTACATTGAAGAATGGCAGGATATGTCTTATTGTGAAGCAAACAAATCCCAAGCAAAGCCACAAGAGGATTTCTTTCAATAACAAGGCTTATTCTGCCCCCCCGTCGTGCACACTCTGGGCCCAGCCTTGAGATCCTTAGTGCTATCGGCTTTAATCAGTGTGCTTGTAGGACATGGGTACAGGATCTCACGGTAAAGCATGAGAGAGATGCATTATGCA